GGGATCATGACGGTTGACACGGTACCTCCAGAATACATTGTCTCCGTCGAAAACACCGAAAGCCAGTCCACACTCTGGACCAGGGTAAGTGCCGTTGGCCTACCCGAGGCTGCTCCAGCGGATGGAGGTGAGAGCCGGGCCGCCATCACTGGCGAGCCCCGGCCAACCGCAAAAGCAATGCCTGTTTCCCTGACTGCAACCAGCAAATCGGCACCTGCAAGCAAGGCTGCACCTTCGACTCCACCTACTTCCATCGTGAATGAGGCAGAGCAAGATCAACCTGCAGCATCTTACAGCGGGTACGCTCCGCCTGAGCCTGCGGGGCCCCCACCTGGCTTTGATGCGCCGATCACCGCCCCGACACTTCGAAAGGGACGCAAGCTGACGGTGATCCAGGTCGAATGCAGCCAATGCAAGGGTCTAGTCCTCAGGGGCATGACCCACTGTGACATTTGTTCAGCCGAACTTGCCACCAACACCGAGCTGCCGGAGGAAGCGGTCACCAGACTCTCAGTTCTCCGAAAGCAGCAGCTTGCGAGGGCCGGCCTCGCTCGCACCGAGTGCCCAGTCAGTGACTACATCAAGGCTGGCCTCAACCTGCGTGTGGTGTCTGCAAGCGGCGTGGAAACATGAGCCCAGAAGCGATCATGATCCAAGACGCTCGCAGCCGGATGAAGCGTGCAGACAAGTGCGGCTTCCAGAGCATCGAGGATCGCTTCGAGCATGACGTCCAGTTCATGGAACGAATGCTACAAATGGGCTATGACCATCGGGCAGCGCAGCGGCAGGATTGGCTTTGCCATGCTCACTTGGCGAACCCGCCGCGCAACAAAGCGCAAGTCAGCCTGGGCCTTGGATATGACGAAGATCATTCTCTGGCACGGCTGGCCTACATCGACGTAGCGCCCGATCGCTATCCACAAGCCATGGACTACATTCCTGAGCAATGGTGCGTGATCTATCGCACAAACATCCTCTCCTTGCGTGAGTACATCGAGTACATCAACTCACCCGACTCCCATCGTGGCCTTTTGGCTTGGGACGGTGTGCATCAGATGAGTCAATACTGCGCAATGGAGGAGCTTCGCCAGCTATGCCACGACAACCTCTCCGCTGCCAGGCGTGATGTGGTCAACAAGCAGACTCAAGAGCAGCGCCAGCAGCAGAGCAAGGGCAAGCGCAAGTCCTCTACCGGAGGTGATGGAACTCCAGCTTCAAAGGCAAAGGGAGGTCCGCCACCTTCACCGGTGAGCCCACGTGCATCCGGATCAGCATCGTCCTCGTGGGGATGGAGCTCATGGAACTGGAGCGAGTGGGGCGAGCAGCGGCAGTGGGACCGCCGTTCGTGGGACTGGAGCTCGAGTCGGAGCCAGTGGCATTGGCGTTAGTTGAGCCAAGTCTCAACCTTTTTGCCTGAGCGAGCATAATTCATTGCATGACATCCATTGTCAATATGTATGCGGTTTTCCTCCCAAGTCCAAACTTTCAATTTCTTTTGGCGGCGGGGAGTGAATAGTTAAAATGCACGTACAGGGCCACGAAGGCAGTGGATTGCTAGCATCCACAACTGCCATGCAGCTTTGAGCCGACATCACTGTCGCGCCCTGCACAAGCCCTCGTGCACTTTCCGCGTCCAGCTTCGGGAGCAAAGCTACCTTAGCTGAGGGGGGTGTATTTTCACTCCATGTAATATGTACACTTTGTACCTTGCACATAGTAGGATGTCATGTTGACTTTACCTTCGCAGCTCGCGGCCCAAAACAGGAGTTGCAGCTTAACGGCTGTTTCTACAGTTTGCTCATGTATAGGTTCGAACTGGCTTACCGCGTCCGCAGCACGTGTGGTCCAAAAGAGCCGCTTACCTAGCACAAAGCCAACACAAACCTTTTCCTTCCTGGACTGGAAGACATCTTTGGGGCAGGACTTGAATCCAAACATGTTAGTGCATATAAACCTGCATGAACATTGACTGGTGACTGGGAGAGGTCTTTGTTTCCCTCCTCCTGTGAGCATCCTTTTTGTTTCATCCTTTTCTCACCTTCTCTGGCACTCGCTTGTTAGCCGTCTCACAACTCTCTTTGCTTTACTGTGTCATCGTAATGCAACCATATTTACAATCCTTGTGGAACTGCCTGTGTGCTTTAATGATTTTAGTGTGTATCGCATCACCAAAGAAACTATGCGCGTCTCACGCAGCCTTGGCAAGCAGCTTTCGCTTGCAACTCCAATTCACTTTTCCCACCAGCGTGCACATGTCTGACTTCGTTTGATAGACTGTCACCGCGGTCGTCAGTTTGCAGTATGTTGGCTTCCTTTACCAATGGTTCCGCCTAGAAAACCTGCAAGCAACTTTCCTGTTATGTCAGTGGAATGAGAGTTTAACAAGTAGACGTGACTGGATGTAGGGCTTGTCAACGCACAGAACATGATTGCAGCGTGTTGCCGGATCAAAGAGGAAATTTGTAGGTGGAAGGATGGCTGAGGCAAGACAGGGTTTTGAACAGAATTTGAGTTCGAACTTCACTTTCAAGCCGCAACCAGATGTGTCAAACTGGCATGTGAGTTGTCACAGCTCAAGATATTCATGGATTGTTCATGAAAGTGTGGGTCAGTTGGTTTGAAGGTGCTTGGAAATGGTGCTGAGGCAAACCTTTCTTTTTGGTTCTGATTTTGTTAAAATGCATTTATATTTTTAAATTTTTGTTGTTTGCACAGGCGCTCCACTGTGCCAGCAGTTTGGCGCAAGGAGGTGAGCTGGATGAAGCAGCAGTTGCAGCCTTAGAACCGTATTCTGGACAACACAAGTTTTCAATTTTTTGATTTTTGATTAATTCTTTTTGGATGGCTTTTGTTTATATACATGTGAAATAACACACAGTAAGCACTTGAAATGTCCAAAGTTTTCTTTGCTGCTGTGAAGATGCCTTTGAGCGTCGCAAGGATTTGATTCGAAATGAATGCAAAGAGGTGCAATGGTTTTCAATGGAGTGCAATATCACATACTTGCTTTGAATGTTCTCTCGCGCAAGTTTCTGGGGTAAGTGTTGCAAGCCGTCAGCTTCTGGTGCCCTTTGAATCCAGAGAAAACAATCTTCAAGCAGCATCAGGGTCTCTGGCATCAAGTTTCTTGTCGCTGCAGTTCTTTTTTTCTTCATTCCAAAGTACCTGAAAAGAGTGTTGCCGGCAGTGGTAATGGCTGATGTGACCAGCAAAATATACGCTTTTCCATGGACTCAATGGGTCATTGTCCAGTAAATTTTCATCGTTCGGTGGGTGTAAATTTGGTTGCGTGCCTTCACCACATCCATTGCTGCCATGCATCTAGCCAGCCGTTGTCAACGAGTGCAACACTAGTGTTTGCTGCTTTCATCAAGTGAGCGCAATCATGTTGGAACTTTCCTACGGGCAGAGTGGGGATCAATAGGTTGTGCGAATGTATGACAAACTTCTGCCTGTTCAACCTAGTGACCTAGTTATCGCTTGCAGCAAGTGACTCTTGCGTCCATTGAATGCCCAAAACATGCAGTATTTAGACTAACTCATACAACCGATGCAGAGTACTATGGGAAGGATTATTTTGAGAGGAAACAAGCCTTATTTCAATACTGGACACATTGCTGAGTCAGAGGTGAGAGACCTTCCCCAGTAGCGAAGAACATTTCTATTGAACAATGGCTAGGACACACTGATTTGTCGGCTGTTAAAGCAGAAATCAAGTTCCAAAAGAGTATGACCTTGCAAAGTGAAAGGAAACACCTCAACTCAGACTCTAAGTTTTGCTGTTCTCCTCAAGTACTTATGTGAATGTTTGAAGTTTATGTCCAAACTTGCTTCTAACAGATGGAGATAGAGAAGCAACTTTTGACAACATGTTCATGTGACAGGACAGGTTGACTGCACAAACACAGAAACACACAAAGGCGCCTCTTCATCTCTTCATGAAGAGCTTTGCATGACAAATCATTCAATGAAGATCTAGGGATCGGACGGGTTTGTGGGTTGAAGGAATCATTTGAATGGAACACACATTTCTCTCATGCTTTGCAAGTTCTTCCAGCTTTTGAGCTCGGGAGGCGTCAGCAGCTTCTCTTGCATCCGTACGCCAGACTGTGATTGAGGGGTACATTCAGCAGGACACAACGATTGTGACATACACATGCTGCCTCTCTGGTTTTCAATCGGTCCATGCAGAACTTTGGAAGCAAAGAAAAGCCAACACTCTTGGACAACTTGTTTCCAAATTGCAAATTCAGCCATGCCATCTGCATCTGCAGATGACCCTTTATTCCAATGAGAACCAGGACCAGCTGGAATCAGCTTGCTCCTTCGCGCTTGAGGCACGAGTCACTAGAGTTCAAGAGGAAAACCACTTCATCACAATTGCATCCTTCCCGTATTCGATATTCAATGAGAGTAGAAGAAAGTGCAACTAGACTAGATAGAAGAAGCCAACAGTTTTTGGTTTGTGCGTACTGCCTTGATGGACGTCGAGTCGTCACGAGATCCAAAAGTCATTTCAACCTAATGTTTATATAATTTGTAATTCAGAGGAGGTCTGCATTCATAGTGCAAGCTCGCCAGAAAAAATAGTATCTAAAGTTTAGCACCAAAGTCGGGTTTTTGGAGGCATAATAATGGTCTGGATCCATCTGTCCGCAATTCAGGTCCAGGTGCCCAATCCCACCCAGAACGCTCAAGACAAAATGAAAGCAGAATGAAAGCAACATGAAAGGAACATGAAAGCACATTAAAGCAACACGAAACCATATGGAAGCAGAATTACTGTAAATGCAAGCAACATGAAAGTGACATGAATCACGAACGTAAATGAAAGCAACATAAAAACAAATGAAGGCCAGTTAAATAAGCTTCAGAGGAGAGCGCATTATTGAGACCCCCCAAAACCTTTCAAACAATTTCATGCCGAGGGGGGGTTGACAGTGTGATGTTCCTTTTCACGTGAGGCTCTTCGTTTACCGAAGGGCTGGGAGCAGTTGACGATGTCTTCAGCTGAACAACTTCTGCGAGCCTTGCTGCATGCGCAGCTGCATGGCCGCGCTGCCAGAGCCTCAGTGCATGTGGGGACCTGGAGACATTCTGGTATGGAAGAAAGGTCTATTGTAGTTTGCTATTAGGTTGGAGGCCATCGTCATTAGGTTGGAAGCCATCGCTTTTAGGAACAAAGAAAATGTAGGTCTTTTCCGCAGCACCAAGGTTGAACTCCTCCACGCCCTTTGCCAGCCTGGAGCTTCTGCTCCCAGTGACCATGTCTTCAACCTGATGCTTGACGCAGCAGTCCGCGCAAGATCCTACGGAGAGGCCTGGGATGTTCTTGAGCTTCTGCTGAAATCTGGGCGGAAGGCTGACAAGTATTTCGTTTCAATCCTCACGAAGAGCCTAGAGTCGTCGAACGACAAGCGTTGGGTTCGGCGGGGCATCAACCTTGTGGATAAGTTCATTGAGCAGCAACAGGAAGATGTAGATGAGATTGTCTTCAACTCTTTGTTGAATGTATTGGGTCAAACAGGAGACATGCTGAAGCTTCAGCAGACATTGAACAAGATGAATGACTACGGGGTGTCTCCATCTGCCGTGACCTTTGGTACAGTTGTCAAAGCCTATGGGAGAGCACGTGACACCGAGTCAGTGATCAAAGTGTGGAACCAAATGCGAAGTCGCTGCTTGGGCATCAACCCTGTCACCTGCGGCTGCGTCCTAGATGCTTGTGTAAAGTGCAACTCCCTTGACAAAGCCATGGCAATTTTTCAGGAGATGCGCATGCAAGGAATGCACAAGAATACAGTGCTTTATGCAACGTTGATCAAAGGTTTGGCGAAGATTCGAGATTTGCAGGGAGCCATGAATCTCTATCACGAAATGCGGATGGAAGGTGTGCCGTGCAATTTGGTAACCTTCAATTCTCTTATGGATGTTTGTGTGCGTTGTGGTGACTTGCAAACTGCGGCCTATTTCCTACAAGACATGATGCAGATGGGAATTGAGCCAGACCTCATCACATTCAGCACCTTGATCAAAGGTTACAGCCATATTGGTGAGGTGCACAAAGCCTTGGCTTTGTCGAAAGAGCTGAAGGCTCGAGGCCTGAAGTGCGATGAGATCATGTACAACAGCCTCATCGATGGCTGCGCAAAAGCTCGAAAACTACATGAGGGACTCTCCGTCTTTGAGGCTGGGTAGGATGGAAATTGTGTAGGTGTCCTTGTCAGCCTTTTACTTGCTGACCTTCATCTAGCTTGAAAAAACGAGGAACACAGTCTGGAAAGCTGAGACCTGTATTCTTTGCAGTTTTATTGTTCCAGGAAATGTTGCAGTCTCGAGTGCAACCGTCCAACATCACCTTCTCCATTCTGGTGAAGCTGCATTTTGAGGCGCCGGCAGCCTTTGTATGGTTGCGCACTGATATGATTCTACAGGATGTGGTCATGAGAGATGTTGAAATGACAACATTTCAACAAACTTTCTTAGGGAGCTTGTTCTTTCAGCAATGCTGCAAGGTTGGGCAAATCTCAGAAGCTTTTCGACTGGTACAGCCCCTGCTGTCCTTGGTTTGACAACTTTGATTTTTGTGACATTGCAGCTTCCTGAGGGTTGGTGTTAGTGTTCATGGTAATTTCAGTAATTTTGACCTTCTGTAGTAGATTTATGACATTCGGAACTTCTTCAAAAGCTTCTTGCAACATGTGCTGCGGCAACGCTATTCTGCTATTACAATACGAGCCTAGTGGAGCACACAGGATGAACACCATGCATCTTGATGTCGCGGTCCATGGTCCAAGCCCGCTCAATCATGAGCCTGTACAGCCTGCTTGGGCGTGGATTGACTCCAGGCACGGTCTACCTTCTTGGAGGTGCTTCATATTCAGGTTTGAAGACGTGTGTAACGTGCAATATATACTGTGTATTTGTGCTACATACTCCCCCTGAAAAGTCTAACTTTCTTGCCTGTTTTGCGAATCTTGAATCTTGGATCAGGCACTACTTGGAATAAGTTTTGCCACAGGAACCGTTTGCAAACGTTTGCAATGGCTGACCGGCCCCCAAACATACCTTGTCCGTGATTGCAACCTCCTTCAAAATCATATTGTCCTGCATTGAATGTATTTATGCAACACCCATTTTTGATGTAGTGCTTTACCTTGACAGCTTCTTCACATCTGCCAACGTTCTTCATAATGTGATTGATATTGTGGCATGTTTGGGGTCATTGCAAACGTTTGCAAACAGTTCTTGTGGAACACGTTATTTCAAGTACTACCTGGATCCAAGATTCAATATCCAAGGTTCAAGATCCAAGATTCAAGATCCAAGGTTCACAATTCAAGATCTCAAAAGCGTTGAATCCTAGATGATGCATCTGTAATTGTAGACTGATTTTGTTTGCAAACGCTTGCAAATGTTTGGCCTGATTTTTTCACTTTTCCCTGTCTTCTGGGATCTATCTTGCTCTGTACACATGTATAGACGATATATATATATATATTATATTATATGTATATATGTACGGTATCCCCCAAAAGGTAGATTTAACCAAAAGAACTCACATTTGGTAGGCCTATTCTTTTTGGGAGTGCCTTATATCACCATTTCCTTTTCCAGAAAAGCAGCAACACCAGATGAATCCGTGGGGAACCATTTGGAGTCATATTCAGCGCCTGAGTTCTGATTTTTGATAGGATGGCGGCTCCCGGCATTTTTCTCCGGCTTGAGCTCCAGCGATGTGGCACTTCTCAGCGAGGCCTGGGGAGCATTTGATTTTGAGACTTTGCGTTGCGAAGAGGACACTTTTGGTGCTATGGACCTGGAAAGGTGCTTTCTTGGGGTTCTTATAGCTAAATGGAGTGGCAGGAGAACTGTTAAGAATTCCATATTCAAAGCTGAAAAAGACTTGGATGACATCTAGTGTTGCTTTACAAGGAATAACCTATAGACAGTATGCACCAAGGTTTAGCATCTCCACCTGCCCTTCATTATGACAGAAATAGTCCAGCGACGTAAAGCAAAGGACAAATGAAATACATTTAAGTTGCCCTCGAACATTCATCATGAGGTTGAGAGCTTGATGCCAGAGCCAGAGAAGCTTAGGCCCGATGTTGCGGATTTTCCGACCAGCAGACAAGTGATGAACAACTTGTATAAAATGTATACTGTATATATATAATATAGTCAGATTATTGAAGCATAGGTTGAAGGCAAACCAATCTGAACATACTGCTTGAAAGGTTTGATACTGAGCTTGAGGATATTCACCTACAGTTGCCGCTCGGAGATTAATTCTGGCCCCGTACGCTTGACATATATTTTGGCTGATGTGTAGTGGGTGTGTTTTAACTTTTAACATTTCTACATGCCAAATCAAAATCAATAGGCACAGGCAAACTGTGCTTGCATTAATGCAGTTTCCTTGAAGTTCCTCATCCTTATACATACTCGCATATTTCATGTGATGCAGTTGAAGTGTCTCGTCAACTGATTCGTTCCCCAAACAGTTCATGTTAAATGTTTTGGGGTTCTCTCTTGACAGTTGAGTTTGTAGGAACGTGATGAATGCCACCGCCGTCTCAAGCTTCTAGGGTAGTGAATGGACCTCTCGGCAGCCCTACATCTTGCTCATTCTGGACTGAGTTCCAATCCTTCGGGCTCGGCTGCCCATTCTACTGTTCTTTCCCCTGGCTGGGGGGCCTGTTGGCTTCCTTCCTGCTCCGGCTCCTCACAGGAGTCATCCTTTGCCTTTCAGGGGGTTATTTCGTGATCCCCTGGCTGCGTCTCCACGGTGCTTTCGTGGCGCCTGCACCTGGCTCGTCCGAGCCGCCTACTGTCCAGCCCGCCAAGTACTTGTATGAGAGGCACCGCTGAGGACCCTGAGGTCGTTGAACTTGATATTCAGTTTTCTGGGCTTTCAATCACTGTCCGAGGGCCTCCAAGTACTGCTGCGAGCTTCCTGCAGCAGGTCACTACTGGGCAACACGACCAAGCTAGCGACCAGAGACCGGTTCCATCCTCGGCACCCTACCTGGCATCGCCAGCTCCGAGGGCATCATCATCTGAGGAGAGACCACGAGCTTTCGGGAGACCAGGACCTACCTATGCTAGAACCGGCGAGACCCGGGCTTCTGTTGAGGCTTCTTTTCCCCCTTGCCCTGCTACTTGGATTGGGGCTGCTAGCAGCAGGCTGTCTGGATCGAGATTGTCGTCACTCGAACGGGCTCATCGCGCCTGGAAAGCTGGCCAGTGGGCCAGAGCTGTTAGGCAAGGCAGAGTCTCATCTCCGAATCGCACTGAGAGCATCGACCTGCCTAACCGAGTGTGGTGTGTGGTGCGAGGACCTCAAGGTGGAGATCCAAAGGTGTTCCACAGCTCGCCGGACTTCTTCACCTACGTGGGTGATCTCTCCCAGAGCCATACGCTCTGTCACGCGTGGCCCTCCGAGACGGAGGCAAAGATCTATTTTGAAGGAGCCGAGACGGAGGCAAAGATCTCGTCGACTAGACAAGATGGCGGCTTTTGGGAGATCCGACTTGCAAGAGGAATTCATTGTTCATGTGCTGGAGTTACCAGTGAGCGAGACCCCAGAGGAAGGCGACAGTCAGGCTCTGGCTTTGGTTATTTTGAGGAGACGAGATGGACTTCTCCTATGCGTACCTCATGGCTACTTTTCAGAGGAGACCTTGGCCATGGGGCTGACAGCTTCGGCAGAAGATCAGGTGGGCCAGTCAACCGTCCTGGCGAAGTCGAAGATTTGGCGGGAAAAGATCCACCTGTCCAGGCGTCAGACGCTACAGTGGATGTGGTTTTGGTGGATGTGACTCGAGATGTTTGGGATCATTTGTCGCCTTTCGATCCAGGAGTGCATTCCATCGATATGATCCACACTTTCAATTCAGAGAGGGCACATCAGCTCCCTATGGTCGATGCTATCACTGCCGCCGCGTGGACCTGGATCAGCGACCCAGGCTCAGGAGAGCGGGTGGGATTCTACTCCGCCCTGGAAGAAGAGTTTCCTTCTACTCCCAGAACCCCTCGGCCTCGCAATGCAAAGGCAAAGGCAGCACCTGGCACTGGAGGAGGAGAGCCTGGAGGAGAGACCAAGCCAGATGCAAACAAGCCTCGACCAACGGTGAACAGTTTGGCATCTTCCCTCGAGTCAATGAGTCAGACTTTGCCACAGATCATGGAGGAGATAAGAATGCTGCGCCAGAGGACAGAAGTCATGGAGGGTCAACTGGCCACGAACCCATCGCGGCCAGGTTGTCTCCCACACCGAAGAGGTTAGCCACTTTCCTGGAGGAGATGCCTGCCCCAAGAAGCACATCGACCCGCACTCCTACACGGCAGCCGGGTTCGACTGCGGTGGATGCTCCAGCCTTCGCCACAGGTGAAGGAATTGGAGAAAGAGAAGGAGGAGGAAAGCTCCCCAGATCTGACCAAGAGTCAGGCACTCTCCACACTGGTGCAACAGATGGCCTCTGGAGACTTGGGATTGGACATCAGTGGAAGCCTTGGCATGAGTGTCAAAGGAGCGCAGGGCAGAGCTCGGTTGCAGCAGGAGCTGGCTCTTCATCGAGGTACTTTCAATGCAATCTACAGCTCAATGGCCCGCCGCACGCAGCCCTCTCAGCCTGCAGATATGAGCCCGATGGAATTGGGACGGAGGGGGGTGGTTGCTTCTCACTACGTGGAGAGGTTCGGAGGCTATGGGAGGAGCAGAGATCTGGGCCACATTATGTGGCAGATTGCACTGATCCTCGACCACCTTCAGAACGAGAATTTCGGAGCTGCAAAGGATGGCACCGCTCTTCTTGCAGTTTGCCTGGAAGAAGCAGCCCTGGATTCCGGAAGGATGGACATTGGCCTGTTGCTTGCCCTACAGTAGGACCCGCCGGCTGGAGTTTTCACCAACAGAAACCTGGCAGGCTATGCTCGAGGAAAAGCCTTTGCACCTCTCGCAGATCAGAAATGGATCACAAACGCTTTGAGTTATATCAAAGAGCTCGACCTGATTGTGGCAAAGCGCAGCGATGCAAGCGCACTGAGGACAACGAAGGAGGATCCAAGCTCATCTACCAGCCCCAAGCGAGCTCCAAAACGTCAGCCCAAGGGAAGTTGGAAGAAAAAGGAGGAACAGCAGGAAGGAGGGGAACAATCACGTCTCCTCCTCCCACTACCTCACGAGCAAGGGAGGCTCTTGCTCCTGCAGATGAGCCCCATGATGCTACCTCAACCGTTCCAAGAGTGATGGCGGCACTTCCGAGATGGATTTTGGCTACCAGAATTCCATTTTCAAAACCTCTTGCGCAGACTTTTCACCTTCATCCTGGAGAACCTTCTCCAGATTCCGTGGTCTTCCCGCTGTTCCTTGCTGATTACGGCATCTTTGCAAGCAGCGGCCCTCAGCTCTCCAAGAGGAAGTGGCTTTGCCTTTTGAGGAAGAGGATGTCTCATGTCTTGATCGTCGCTCTCAACTTCATCTATGGCGGAGGATTTTCGGTGGATGTTGAACTGCTGAGGAGGCGCCCCGATTCTGTGCAGATAGCAGCTCATGCTAGGTTTTGGGCGCTTTTGACTACGTGTGACACTCCTGGGCTTTGCTTTCCGCCGGTCCCAGGACGGTCTAGTCTTGAATTCATTGCTCGTTTGAAGGAAATGGAGGATTTTGCTACGCAGCCAAATTTGCTGCTCATTGATCCCTATGAAGGCGGACCCGTCGACTATGAGGACTACCAGATTGGTCACATCGAGCCTCAGCCGGACTCATCGCCTGTCCAGCCCTACTCCTTGCTCAATGAGGACAGAGGTGAGAACTTGCAGTTAGTTCTGCCTTGGTCCACGCAGAAGCTCTTGACTTTGGTTGCTGAGCCGCCCTATAGAAAGCCCTTCAGCAAGGTCTTCAACGCTTACAAGAACAAAGAGGTTGATCGTCGGATCGGAGACTCTCGCCTCCCTAACTCTGTGGAGCACACCTTGCAAGGATCATCGCAGTTTCTACTGGGCGGCTATCTGATGTGTAACGTGGGGGTGCCTCCTGGATACAGAGCTACTGGTTCCATCACCGACCGGAAAGTCTTCTACTGCCAAGCCTCTGCAACTCTTGTTCGAGCACAGATGAACGTGCTCCCTTTCGCCTATGACCTGGAGATCTTTCGTGGCACTCCAGCATATGAGGATTTTCTGCAGAGGAGAGCAAGCAGGCCATCCAGGGAGACAGGAGGAGATGGTTTTGGAAAGACCAAGCGTCCGGCACCCTTCAACCCAAGTCAGAGAGTCTACCCTGATTTCCGTTCTCTCTTGCAAGGAGTTCATTTGGGAGTTGAGCTTGCACTCTCGGCACATGGGTCCTTGCTGGAGGATGCAGGGCTGCGGGCACCTGAGTGTCGAATACTCGGGAAGAAGCCTCTCCCCAATGGAAGGCTCTATGGGGGCCTTCTGTTAGATGACTACTTCGTGGTCTCGGTTGACAAGCTCTCCACTGCGGTTGAGGTTTCTCCTAGAGTGGAGACAATTGATCGGGCTTTCCACGCCTACAAGAAGGACGGTGTCCTGGGTTCTCAGGAGAAGGGTGGCAGGGGGCCATCTCATCTCAAGGTGTTTGGGGCAGAAGTCAATTCATCGGAAGCAGCACGATCAAAGAGCATGACTATGGTGGCCGCTCCTGCAGAGAAGAGAGGGGCCTTAGTAGTCCTGTCAATGCGAGTGGCCTCCAGGTCGATCATCTCATCATCCCTGGCCGCAAGGCTTGCTGGAAATTGGTCGTCGATTTTGATGTATCGGATGTGCCTCACTTGCCTCCTGTCAAAGATCTACAGCTTGGAGACATCGAAAGGGAAGGAGGACGTTTCGAGAGTGTTCCGTCTTTCCAGAAGCGCTGCTCAGAAGCTGCTGCTTGCTGCTATTCTCTCATGGGTCGCTACTACTGATGTTTCAGCTGACTACCTGAAAGAGGTCTTCGCCACCGACGCCTCCATGCATCGAGGAGCTGTCACTGCAAGGGCTGTCTTGCCTGAAGTTGCTGAGGTCCTGCGGCTTGGAGGCGACAAGAAAGGAGGTTATACGACTCTACTGAAGCACCTTGCGTTGAGAGGAGGAGGATGCAGATTTTCAGTTTTTCTGGATTCAAGAGCTGCGAAAGGTTCGTTTTCAAAGGGGCGGTCTTCAGCCTACGCCCTATCTCCTGCACTGCGGAGAGCCGCCGCAATCCAAGTGACTTTTGGACTCTACCCGGCCTTGGGTTCTGTTCTGATGGGACTGAACGTTGCGGATGATCCAACCAGAGATCACTGCCTCCGCGAGCCTGCAACTCATTCTGTACTTCTTCTATTTGCTCGAGATGCCGCAGAGGACCTACATGCTTTAGGTCTCCCCTGTCGCTGTGCAAATTGGCTGCGACTATGCATCCTCGTATGGCACCTGGGGCCTGGTCATGCCGCCTGCTACGAAACCCCTTTCTCAGCCGGGGGCTCTCATTGGACTTTTGGATTTGCTGGACTTTGGTGGACTTTTGGACTTTTGCTTCCCTCCTTGCCATTTTCTTGGTGGTTTGGAGGTGCATGGACTTACGTCGCTTGCTTCGTCTCATCGTAGCGTGGTCTTGGATTTGGCACTTCCTTTGCTTGCCTTCCTTCGCAGCTGTCCCTCTGCCCTCCATCTCCCTTGCTCTCTCAATGGCACTCCCTGGGTAATGACGCAGAGGTCCATAGTTTTCTTATATCCGAGCAAGCCCATGGAGTAGCAGCCAATCCGAGCAAGCCCATGGAGTAGCAGCACATAGTTCTTTTATCCGAGCCATGGAGTAGCAGCCATGTCACTGGGCCCGGCTGGAGCTGAAGTGAAGGAGAAGGCACTCCGCCTAGCAGAGGTGACCCTGTTGGCTGACAGAGTCAGACTCGGACTCGGCGGGAGCAACTGTTTGATGTTTTTGAACAGTGGCTCATTGAGAGCCATCATTTGGCATTGGAGCAGTTGCTGGATCGGCGCAAGCGTAATGCTGATTGTGTGTCAGACACCTTAGTAGCCTACAGAAAGGAGCTCTACTATGCTGGAAAGTCGTATGGCCGCTACAGCGAGACCAGAGACGCAGTAGCCAACGCTGAAGAAGTTGCTGGTAGGGGTCTGGGATCTAGCCTTCGCTTGGGTTACTGATGAACCTCATGCCCACCTCCCTGCCATGCCACTCTCAGTAGTACTAGCGTTTTCAGGGCTTGCTTTGTTATGGGGTTGGCCTGTCGAGGCCCCACTGCCGCTGATGACCTGGACAGGTATTCGGAGGATCAGTGAGGTCCTGGACGCCTTTCGAAAAGACCTAGTGCTGCCAGAAGATGCAGCGCCTGGAACCTGGTTTGCCTTGGTGCAGATTAGACAGCCAAAAATACGAGGATCTACCACTCACCACCAGTTCGAAGCAGTTTTTGGAAAGCTTCCGAGAAAGAGAAAGCTCGGGCCCCTTTGGGGCCAAGTGCTACGTAGAAGGTTCCAGATGCTCCAGAAAGTCCTGGGGCTCCTTTTGGTGAGGCTACGAGGCCAAGCACCTTTTGACTTGGCCTCCCTGTGCCTAGGAGGCGCAACGTTTTTACCTCAGCATTTCGAGGACGCCAAACTGGTGAGACGACAAGGAAGGTGGCTGTCTGCTAGTGTTTTGAGAGACTACTTGCTGGAGGTTCGTTTTGCCACCTTCCGTGATCGCTTGCCACCAGTAGCTTTTGCTAGGATATCTAAGCTCTCTGCATCTTTTTAAAGAGATTTTGCGGATAGCGATCTTCCTTTTGGAGACCTTGAATTTTGCTGTGTGTTGGCACCGCCTCTACTGACGGCTTGAGAGTGGGAAGATTTGGATGTGATGGTGTGAAGTACAGGGCCAGTTCACTCTGGCTAGAGATCATGCCTAC